CATTTCCCTCTCCCTCTCCCTCTCCTACTACATTCCCTGCCTCCCTGTTCTTCGAAGCATCGCGTTCGGCCCCCATTCGACTACCCCCACCCCCTCAAATTGATCATGACCCATGTGACAGAAAGAGAAAACTATAGGACAGTACCCCATCATTGCGCACCCTACCCCCGTTTGTAACCCACCCTAAATTGCGATGATGCTGCGGCAGTCGGGTGGTGGAGGAGCAGGCAGAGAGACAACTAGGACAGGACAGGACAGGACAGGACAGGACAGGACAGGACAGGACAGGACAGGACAGGACAGGACAGGACAGGAGGGGAGGGGAGGGGAGGGGAGGGGAGAGGAGAGGAGAGGAAAAGATGCAGGCAGGTAGGCAGTAGGATCAAAATCAAAGTTATTATTCTTCTTGTTTAAACTCGTTGAGAGATCCCCATGAATGCCCTACACGAACCTGAAGAGACAAATAAGTCCTCCTCGGTCCTCCATCCTCCTCCTTCCCTCCCTCTCCTGCCTCCCTCCTCTCACCCACTAACTCCCTTCTCTTCCTTGTTTACCCTCCTCGCTCCCTCCTCGTCTCGTTTACCTTGACTCGTAGAGGAGGGGAGATGTCGCAGGCGCCTCGCATGCAGTCTGAGAGCTGCTGGGCTACTGTATGTGCCGCTTCCGATCTCACTTCGACGATCACTTCATCGTGAACCTGAACGGTAGACGATCAGTGCAGGAGGTGGGGAGAGGACAGGACAGGACAGGACAGGAGGAGAGGAGGGTAAGGCCCATGTAGAGACGAGACAAGATTAACCTGCATGACAATCTTTGCCTCCTCCTCCTTGAGGTTTGCAGATAGAGCTATGAGCGCTGCTCGGAGGATGTCGCTTGCAGTTCCCTGCTGTCCGTCAGAGCAGGGGAGCAAGAGAATGCTTCTGCCTGCACGACTGTGTTCACGGCTCTTCGCTCAGCTGCTCCTCTGTCTGCCATGTTGGGGGAAGTGATGCCGGGTAGAGCTCTGCAATTTAGTCACTCTCCTCCTCCTGCTCCTCTCCTCCTTCACTCGCTCCCTTCCTCCCTCCTGTCTCCTCCCTCCTCTTCTCTCTGCCTCCTCCTGTCTCTTTCCTCTTTCTCCCCATCATTGTGCGGACGTATCCATCTTTCCTGCATGCAGCAATAATCTCCTGGTAGACCCGAAGCCATTCGATCAGCATCAAGAGACTGCAAGAGGGGAGAGGAGGAGCATGTGAAAGGAGGAGGAGGGGGAGCAAGAAATGGATGAGGGGCAGAGAAGTTGGGAGCACGAGGAGGGGAGACCAGCAGGCACTCTTTGTAGTTCGAGTATGTGGGGAAAAGCGACAGAGAGAAAGAGATAGAGATTGACAGGAAGGAAGGAACATGAACAGGAGCAGGAGCAGGAGAAAGGTTTAGGAATAGCAACAGCAACAGCAAGAGGAGGAGGAGGAGGAGTACCATGATCCATTCGCTGGTCTTATGATAGGTTGCCTTGAAGGCTTGGAGCATCTGATTGGCTTCGGCGGTGCTGACCCCTAAAGAGATTGACGAGCATTGATGAGCAAAGAAAAGTGCGATGATGTCATGAGATGAAGGAGCAGTGGAAAGAGCGACGAGGAGGGAGGAGGAGAGAAGCAGCAGCAGCAGCAGCAGCAGCAGCAGCAGCAGCAGCAGCAGCAGCAGCAGCAGCAGCAGCAGCAGCAGGAAGATTACTGAGGTCTTGAGCAAGGGAGTTCAATCCCATGCCGTAGAGGATGCCGTAACAGACCTTCTTGGCCCTCTGACGCTCCTCCTCACTGACCTTGACACCCCCACGTGAAATTAGCGAGCAGTACAAGTGAGAAATTGAGAAGGAGGAAAGGGGAGGGGAGGGGCGGGGAGGAAGAGGAAGAGGAAGAGGAGCAGATGTTGAAGTGTAGGATGCCGAGCAGCTTCGAGTTCTTGTGTACCTTGTCTGCTGGTACCTTGAGCCACATCGCCGCCATGGCGCAGAAGACGTCGACAGCTCCTGCTTGCTGCCCATGACCCTCGAGTGCCGCTGATGGAGATGATGTAAAGGAAGAGAAAGAAATAATGATTGAGAAAAAGACATGACATGACATGACATGACATGACATGACATGACATGACATGACATGACATGACATGACATGACATGACATGACATGACATGACATGACATGACATGACATGACATGACATGCAAAAGAACAAATGAGCACATCTATTGAGTTGAGGGAATCAGCAACAGAACAAAGACAGTATCTATAGAGGAGAAGTAATGGGAGACTACTTTTACAACGAGACTCTGAACTGAAGACGCGAGAAGGAGCAGCAGCAGCAGCAGCAGCAGCAGCAGCAGCAGCAGCAGCAGCAGCAGCAGGATAGAGATCGTTCTTGCACAAGTATCCTTACCTGCAAGCCTCATATCCTTCGACAAGTGAGCGATGATCCTCAACTCTAACTGAGATCCTCTTAGCTCCTCTCCTCCTCTCCTCCTCTCCTCCTCTCCTCCTCTCCTCCTCTCCTCCTCTCCTCCTCACCTGACTGAAATCAGCGCTCATCAGCACACATCCTTCCCTCGCAACGATCGCGTCTCGTGCGCTCCTCTCCCTCCTCCTCTTGGGCAGGCACTGCAGGTTGGGACTTCTGGTTGCGATCCTCCCAGTCCCGCAAGCATCCTGCACCTGCAAGCAGTGGACGGAGGAGGAAACGACGAAGCTGTGGAGAGGGAGCAGGTGAGAGTGGAGGAGCGAGGAGACTCTCCGGTGCTCCAGGATGAGTCTAGCACACTGAGAGGCCCCTCGGGTTCCCCTCCCCTCCCCCCCCCCCCCCTTCCCCCTCCTCCTCCTTCGCCAGCTCCTCCAGGAAGGAAGAGGAGAGCGCTGCTGCGAGCTGCTTGACGTTAGTCCAGGTGCAGCCATGTGGAGGGGCCACGTGAAGGGAGCGGAAGAGAAAGTTGGCGATGGAGGTTGAGGAGCGGAGGTCGACCTCTCTGCCCTGCGCCACTGACTTCATCTCCTCCTCCAGACTGGTCAGCTCCTCCCTCAGCTCCTTCTCCTGCCCCTTGATCTCCTCCAAGTCTACTCGCATCCCCTCCTGCCATTTTGCTCAGTCTGCTACAACTTCGCCTCGCCTCGCCTCCCCTCTCCTCTTCTCTCCTCTCCTTGATCTCACCTCTTCCATTGCCGTCAGAACCATACACGTTTTCATCTCCATCTCGTTGAAATATTCAAACATCCCCTGCAATCTCAGCAACCTTCGCAGCTTCTTCATCTCCTGCTGTCCACGTCATCTCTCCTCCACCACCACCTCACCCTCCTCTTCCTTCCCAAACGTTCCCCATCCTCTTCTTCTACCCGTACCTTGCCCAACGTCGCAGCCTCATAACACGCTCTCATAAATGAAGAGGAGGTGGCGGAGGAGGAGGAGGAGGTAACGGTCTTGAGTTGAGGGAGGGAGGGGCAGCCTGCCTCTCGCAGCAGGAAGGAAGCGAGCGACGGGTCTTCGACAGGTCCAAGGACGGGGAGGCGATGAGCACGGAGAGACCGGATGTTCTTCTTCGCGTCCCTCATGACTTTCTTGATCCTCCTGCTTTGCATCATCCTCCCCATCCACTTCTTGGCCTCGCCTGCCCCCTCCTGCTCCGGTTGAAGTGGGAGGTAGAACACTTGCCCTTGCAGCCCCTCCGCTTCCTGCCTCTCCTTTCCCTTTCCTCCAGTCTCCTCCTCTCCTCCCCTCTTCTCATCCTCCTCCTCCTCCATGAAGCTGAAAGCCAATCCAGCAAGACCTCCTGACCGCCAAGATTGCTGCTTCACTCGCAGATAATCACAGCAGACCACAAGGGTAGTCCTGAAGCTCCCTGCCTCTCTCCCCTCCTCTCCCTCCTCTTCCTCCTCCATTCCAATCTCTCGATGCTCTGCAAGTCTTCTGCAAAGTTTCTCTGCGGCTGCTTCATCCGTCAGGTCTTGGAACCACGTGCAGCCCTGCTCCTTCACCTCCATCTCCTCCTCACCATCATCCTCCTGCTCACGATGGCACATCCTCCTTGCCTCCTCCACCAGTCGACTTGCGATCCTCCTCTCCTCCTCTCCCTCCTCCTCTCGCGTCTCTGACCGGAAGGGCATCGAAGAGCTCACCACTCTCGCCACTCGCCCGACCGCAGCAGCTCCAAGCGCCTTGAGCGAGCCGATTCCTTCCTCCACCAGCCCGCGGGCCCACCAGCTCTTCATGGAGGGGCAGCGGAGGAGGAGGAGCACGTCTGAGCTCACGCTCGCTCGCATCCTCTCCTGCAGCTCTGCCGTCAGCACCTGCAGCTGCCACCAGCGCAGGCGCGCGCAGAAGGAGGAGACGGTCCCGGCGAAGGCTGCTGCCTCCTCCTGCAGCTGCTGCACCCGCCCCCGGGGAACGTGAAACTTAAGGGCAACGTCGGGGATCTTTCGCTCGAGGAGAAGGTCGCGGAGGATGAGGGCACAGAAGAAACGTGAGTGAATTTGTAGAGCTCTCTGCCAGCAGGAGGACGAGGACGAGGACGAGGACGAGGAGGAAACTCCATGAAGCCTCGCGCGCATGAGGAAGCGTTCTTGCACGCCGACACGCTCAGCGATGCGGCGACAGGGAGGGGGGAGGGACTGGAAGATGTCGAAGAGGTGGGGCCAGGGGACGGAGAGGTCGGAGAGAGGAGAGACGAGGAAGAGGAGATGAAGGTCGTCCTCCATCGCCAACGAGCTCATCGCCTCCTTCAGGTCCTCCTGCACCATCGCCGCGTCCTCTGGTGACATCCCGCTCCTCACCGCTGCCTTCCCCAGATGCGTGCAGAAGAAGATGACCTCCCCTGCCCTCGTCCCCTGCCGCCGGGACATGTTGGAGGCGAAGAGCCAGCGAAGAGCCTCCTGCATCATCTGACGCAAACAGACGTCCTCCTCGTCTTCCTGCTGCTGCTCCTGCTCCTGCTCCTGCTGCTGCTGCTGCTGCTCCTCCTCCTCCTCCTCGTCCTCGTTGTTGTTGGCTTGTTTTTCCTCGCGCTCCTTGTCGTCTTTTCCTTTCCTCTCCACCAAACTCTCAATCATCACCCTCCTATCCCTCGCACTCTCCTCCTGCTCCCCCGCCCGCTCTCCCGCGGCTCGATCCCTCCTCCTCTCATGAACCAGCTGGGAGTAGAGGAACGACTTTCTGAGGAACCGCATCACCTCCTCCTCCTCCCTCACCAGCTCGTTGTCCAGCGCCTCCAGGATGGCCCGACGGAGGCCGGACAGAGCAAGCGGCCTCCGCCTCCCCCACATCTCCCGATCCACCAGCCTGCTGCAAACAGGAGGCAGCTTCCCGGCCAGCAGCGCCCGCACACGACCTGCGTCTTTCCTCTCGCACACCACGAAGCTCTCCCCTGCTCCTCCGGCTCCTCCTCCTCTTCCCGCTCGCCCTGCCCGCCCTGCCATCTGCCGGTAGCGGTTGACGTCAAGGAAGTCGCAGCCGATGAAGGGAGAGCGGAAGATGACGCGATCGGCCGGCAGGTTCACTCCAGCTGCTAGAGTAGAAGTACACATGAGAATACTCACGTCTCCTCCTCGGAACGCGCTCTCCACCACCATCCGCTCCTCCACCGTCATCCCAGCATGATGAAACGCAACCCCAGCACGAATCGTCTGCTGCAGCACCTGGTCCACTCCTCCTGCCGAGTTCCTCAGAGCCTCTAGCATGCTCTCCCTCTTCGCCCTCTTCCTCTTCTCCTCCTCCCCTCCCTCCTCCCCTTCCTGCCTGTCTCCCTGCAGGTTGTCCGCCACGAACTTGGCGCACATCTCAGCTGACCTCCTCGTGGAACAGAACACAAGAGCCGTCTGTGACTGCGCGAGCGCTTCCTCGCACAGCATCACGATCCCATCCCGATCAACGTGTCTGCCTCCCTGAAGCTCCCGCACAACCTTCCCGCCCTTGTCCTCCACCTTCAGCTCCACAACCACGTGCTCTAGGAGCGGCACAGGACGGAAGTCGCTGACGTACAGCTCCGCCTCCAGCCACATCGCAAGCTCCTCCATGTTGGCGACCGTGGCAGACAGGCAAATGATCTGGACGGTAGAGGACAGGGAGAAGAGCACCTTCGTCAGCAGGATCTCCACCAGACATCCCCTCCCAACGTCCCCCAGCATCTGAGCCTCGTCCACCACCACCGCCCCCAGCTCCTCCCCCTTCTTCTCCACAAGCAGCTGGTTCACGATCGAAGACGCCTTCTCGATGGTGCAGATTGACAGCTCGACCAGGTCGGCGTGGGACCTGGTAAGGAGCTGGGCCCCGCGGCAGTAGCCCTCCACCCGGACCTCCTCCCCTTGCAGAAGCTCGCGGAAGTACTCCACCTTCTCGAGCACCAGGCTGACGTAGGGGACCACGAACAAGACTCTTCTCTTCGTCAGCAGCAGGCAGCGGATGGTCAGGATCTCCGCTACCAGCGTCTTCCCGCCGCTGGTGGGAGCAGAGTACACCAAGTTGGTGCGACGAGACAGCGCCGAGGTGGAGACAAGACAGTGAACCTGCCACTCATACAGCTCGCGCATCCCCAGCTCCACGTAGGCCTGCCGAACTCCAGCTGGGATCTCCCACGCTCTCAGCCAGGACTGGGATAGCTCCTCGTCCTCCAGTGCAGAGCTGCTGCCGTTGGTCGAGGTAGACAGCGCCTCGTCGTTGTTCTCCTTGCCCCCCTCCTCCTTCTCCTCCCTTTTGCACCCTCCGTCTCTCCTCAGATTCAGAAGCGTAGGAGGCGACGATGCGCATATCAAGGATGAGAACCGATACTGAGAGAAGCAGTCGACACTGCTATCACTGTCCTCCTGCTCCCGGTCCGTCATAGTCTTGTCGGTCCGCTCCTCCTCTCCCTCCTGCATCTCCATCTCTTCAAACTTCGGATGCTCGAAGTCGATCTTGATGTTCAGTCGCTGACTGCTGATCGGATTCTCGTTCCTGTTCTCTCTGTCTGCTTCCTCGTTGTTCGATGCTCCGCACAGGCCCTCAGCCTCTGCGCCTGCTCGCTTCTTGCGAGGGTGGAGGGCATCTCGAGGAGAGTCTTCTGTGGGAGAGGAGCTGTGAAGTTTTCTGATCATCAATTATTATCACTTGTTGTTGAGCTGTGAGCATTGGCCGTATGTTGCCATGATCCTACCATCTCCTCGTATTCTTGGGAGACTCATCTCTTCTTTGCTGTCTTGGGGTGAATGTATCTGTTCTCTCTGCTGTTGAGCTCTGCTTGTATTCCTTGTTACGTGTCAGCTTCTCCACTTGTCTCGATGATGACTGTCTGTGTTTGTGCTCTAGTCTTCTCTCCTTGTTCCCTTCTCCTCACATCAAGTCCCTCCCACTGGAGGTACACTTCTGATGGTCACAATGGAATTATCGGTAGGGGTATCCCTTTGTCCTCATCTTACAACGTTTCAAATTATTCTTATAGTAAAATAGCTCAACTTTATTTTAAAAAACTTATAGATACCCATGGTGAAAATAAACTTTACAACGGTACCATTCGCTTAGAGAGGCTGGGGGTTTCCCACGCCTTTTTGAACCCTACTGCTGTCAAATTCAGTTTACACGCCTTCGCACTCACTCTTGTACGTATGTTCTGTATTCGGATTTTCAGTGGCAGAGGAAGGAGAGAGAATGACAATGAAGAACGAAGATGACATGATATCGGAAGACGTGGAGTATCTCCGATCTCAGCAGATTGAGCACAAATGCATAAACTACACTGGAATTGAGTTATCATGGTTTTCATTCGCGGACTTTAGCTCATCCCTTCGGCTTTGTGTGATTATTCAAGAAAAAAACGAGAAAGAACACAAGAAAGAACAAGAAAGAACAAGATCTGCTCATGTCCTGGCGGTCTCCTCGCTGACTGGACGCGATTAGAAGAATCAGCAACAACCATCGGCCGCTGCCTCAAAGGGCTAGATGCTCGGTTGACCTGAAGTTTGATGATTCTTAGTTGACGTGCTCTCGATCCGGGTGCATGTATCCTTCCTCTTGCTATCATCTGCATGCTCTCCCTCTCAGTGTCTGAAACTATTTCTTGAACGAGTTGTCGCTGCTTGCGTAGTTTGTCCAGAAAAGGAAGGGACTTTGTCTTGCGCGATCTATTCCAATAGATATCCCTTTCTCAACAGCCTGCAAGGGTCCATGCAACTCTTTTAGACATGCAAGCTTCCCTTCTGACCTTGGCCAGGGCTTCCTCACAAAATCTCTTGACTTGAAAAGGAGGCGAGAATCCTTTTCACTGCCGACCGTGTTTGCCCCAGGTCACGAATTTGATGGGGTCGACTTCAATGTTGAGTGCTATGAAAGATAGACTGAGCCTGTGCGGTGCAGGCGATCATGGCGTCGACCAGGAAAGGATCATCTGCTGTCACAACACTGTAGAGGAAGAGGAACGAGTTGTTCGAGCATGTCATCCATTAAGAATCGTGTCTCCCAGGAGTCTGGCCATGACGACCAGGTAAGATCCTGAAACGATCGCCATCTTCTCGGCGTATATACGCTGACGTATTGACACGTTTGAACCTACGGCAGGCCATTGCCTTGCACTGTAAAAGTACTATATAAATTTGTATAACGGTAATGAATCCTTTGTACCCTTTACAATGTGTGGTACTGATTTGAATTTGAGATACTCAGGGATGCTCTAAGAGGATCCTAGAATAAAATACATAAATTATTTTATAATACCTGATCGATACGTCATTTACTGCTTAAAAGGTACAAACTCTAAGCTATCTCAATTTACAAGTCCTAGGATGTATATGTATCTCGTAGAAATTCCAAAGAAGTCCGGTTTGGTAGCTTGGTGAAGTCCTAGATGCCTATGACCTTTGTCCTAGTCTTCCTACCACCCGCCTAGAGCCCCTTCGTCGCTCCCTAGGAACCTTCTTATAGGGTAATTTTTATTATCAATTTTTACAATGGAGACCTAGGACCCTAGAACCTGATCTACGAAAACAAGCCTTAGATAGGTGATAGTGAGTATAGGACCGTGAGCTAGGGCCTCCTGCTATCTGAATAGAGGCCACTCGATGTCGATAAGTTGACCCACTGCTTGTATCCAGTACCCCAATTTTGGACATGATGTAGAGGGGTATTAATGGTTAACAAAGGGGTGATAGGATTGTTGCGTGGGGTCAACGAAGCAAAGGTACAGGGCAAACCTGATCCTTCAAGATTTCCCGGCGGGGGTGGGGTAGTCACAGGGGGTTGTTCATAGATCCATCAGAAGGTCAAGAAGGGTAGTGGTAGTGACCCATGTGGGAAGCTACCCCCCGATAACGGTCTCCTAATTGGTGGAGTGTACTAGACAGGGTGGTCAGGGGCGCAAAACAGACCTTACGGTCAATGTCAGGGTAGGTGGTACAGAGATTTTGAGATATGCTGGGTGATCAAGAGTGAATTTTGGGGGTAGGGGTGGATGTGAACCTGATGAAAGAGGTAGATCAAGGGGATGGGGTGGTGAGGATTTGATCAAGTTTGAGGGATTAGTGGTAACTAAACTTCTAGTGGTACTGAAATATGGGGTACTGGGGGTCCTTTCAGTGTCTTGGCTGACTACTGCACCCCTCGTAGAGAAATCAGTCTCTCCGTTGCGGATCCCCCTACCCCTCCCTCACCCTCATGTCGCCCCCAACGCGGGCAATGCCACAAAGTTATCGTGGCCCCTTGCCGCTGCTCATGACGATGCAGACTGAGAGGAGAACCTGTTAGGCCATACCAGTATACTTGATGCTGTGCTGGGCGATGCTGATCCAATGCACGTCCTCTCCTCCCATGTGTCCTGTAGGAGCTCGGATACATTCTGGGACTCTAGCTTTTGACCTAACGGAAGGGAACCGAAGAGACCTGGCAGCTCTCAGGAGCTGTGTCGTCCCGCCGGTTACTTTTAGTTGCTCCAGTTGCGTTTTCAACTAGCAAGTAGAAGTTGAAGAGAGGATCCTATCGTGCCTTAGAGCCCTTGCTTGTGAGGCATGGCGTTGCGAGCGGTTAACAAAACCATACATCCCATTCTGATGAACAAAAAGATGTGACAGACTGCTTGCCTGTGTTCTTATCATGATTTACCATCTTGAGTGTTCCTCAACTATCAGTTTAAGCTGATAGGTCTCATTGCACGCTCAGCGAACAGGAGGTTTCGAGGGAGTTGTTCTTAGTGTTTGTTTGCAACATGTATGTTTCATGGCATGCGTAGCAGCGACTAGAAAGCTTCTCGCGCCTCTTCTGCTGGCGGTTCGATTTCTTTGACATTGTCCCATAAGTGTATCAAGCCGCCTTTGTGATCACGCCCTTGCTGCCATTTTTTGAATTCTGTTTTTGGCGCGAAACTCCCACCAGGAGGCAGTGGCAGTCAGATATTTCGTTTGTCCTCGCAGCTTTGATGTGGCATGCTCCATATCGTCTTGACTGGATGATCTCAGGATCCGTTAGGGGACCTTAAAGCACAGCATGCCCTCGCTGGAGGGCGAAGCCTCGCCAAGGCGATATGACGCAGCTCCTCTGCCGCTGGAAGCTATCCTCACAGAAGCTCCTCCCAGACCGCAACCAGAGAGCGAATCCTCGCCAGAGCCTCCTCCCGTAGCCAACACCTTGAACATCACTGGAGGAAGAGCAAGAGCAAGAGCCGAAGCAAGGTGAACATGCATACACAAAGCCAAAGTTGATTTTGATCGGTGGACTGGTACAGGGCGGCAGCTCAAGCAAAGAATGGAAGAGATATTACTGCAATGACCCAGAAAGAGAGGGACAGTCTCTTGCACGAGGTTGCCACTCACTTTGAGTCCGCAAACAAGTTCTGACGAGTCTCACCTTCAGTATAAGCCCTGGTTCTACACAAGGTTCGCAAAAACAGCCGTTACCCTTCCTCGTCAAATGTCAGTACATTCTTTTCTGCTCTCACTCCTGTTTGTGTCCACTGCGAATCAGGACATTAACACTCTACTCCGCTAGTTGCTTGGAAGACTTGAAGCAACTGTCTGCTGCCTGCGATAAACGACCGATGACGCTTAGACATCGACCAATGGGCATGTCAGCGAAAGGAAGAATTCAGAGCAGAAAGAGATTTGGTTCACAGCAAGGAAAAGATCAAAATGAATCAGTCCAGGAGGTATTTTGTTGTAGTTGAACATGCCTGTTCGAATCTGATCGACGAAATGTAGCTTTGGGCGGGTTGTGACGAATGTGGGAAATGGAGAAGAGTCCCTGAAGGCTTTGTTGTAGACGTGAGCAGAAACGATGTTGAAAACACAAGAAATGGTTTGACCTCCTTTTCCAGTCAAAGACCAAGTTTATATGCAACATGCTAAACGGTCTGAGCTGTGATCAGGTATTACGTACCACGCGAGGTTGTACCCATCAACTGATTCCATGAATGTTCAGCCGGAAGAAGATTGGAAAGAAGACGATGCTTGGTTTGAATACAGCGAAGGAGAAAACCAATGCCCGGTACCTGATGAAAGCGTAAAATCTTGCAGTCTGAACGAGGTTTTGCAAGCAACAGTCTGCAGAGGAGAAATCGGAGGATACACCCCCACATGCTGTGCAAGAGAACAAGGCTCAAGCAGCATCAGATGCCATCGAGGAGAAGAGTTCTGCTGCCGTTGCAGCTTTGATTGAAGGAGATGCCCTCCTCTCGAAGAAGCGAAAGACCTGTAAGATTGTGCTTTGGCTTCCAGCAGCCTGGTTTACCTGCCCGCAGCTCCGGATGTTGAGAATAAGGTCAAGCGACCGGCAACAGCTCCCACTACAGCTGGAGCAGCTGCTGAACAATCTGGTGGACCGGAAGTGAAGAGAGCACGGGCGTTGGAGCCTCTGAGCCCCGAGGATGTCACCAGCGGGACTGCGTATTACAACCCTGGCTCAAGACCCCTTGGCACCAACTTCCAGAACGCAAGAATCGGCGCTCCGCCTGTCTCGAGGCTGGAGGCAGTGATCCAGGTACAGGCGACCCTCCTCGTCCCTCCTGCCTCTGACTATCCTCCGAAAGGTTCTGCATCAGCTCCAGAAACCGACGCACTATGATGTCATCACACGGCAAGCGCTGCGGTTGGGGCTCATTCGCTTCACTGGTCTGAGCGATGGAGCCATGTCGAGGAGCCTCTGACAGTCGCGCGCTCACAGGGTCTCAAGGAACAGCAGGAGAGTCCATGAAGGCTTTTCTCAACAAGGTGCGGGAGGTGCTGGCGAATGTTGGCTTGTTGACTCGCTACCACAGACCATCCGTGAGAACAAGTCCCCCTCCGTTGTCAACCTTGGCAAGGTCAGCCTGCCGCCCATGCAGAGCAGATGCTAACTGGTGGTCAGGGCGTCTATGGCTTGAGAGAGTGGCTTCTACCGTCCTCCAACTCAGCTGCTGCGAGGAACGTCCAGCTGCAGAAGCACATGACTCAGACCCCCGTCAACTTGAACCTCGCGAGCACGTCGACCAACCGAAAGCCGCAGCAGCAGCCAACCTCCGCCCCTCTGCCTGGACAGCTTCCTGCAGCCTCCTCGATCCTGCAGCAAGGGTACAAGAAGCCGGGCTCTGCCCTGGACTCATCGGAGATGGCGAAACTCAAGAGCAAGACGGCTGAGACCTCCTACTCTGCTCCTCAGTCTCCTCCCATCTGTCATCAGTCGCAAGCCGCCACGTCCGAGAACAACACAACACCAGTGCGAACGCATCGCCCGTCCCCTCCTTCACTTCCCTCTATGCAGCTGGTGAGTTGCCGAGAGTCTCGCGTGAGCGACTGAGCTGAGGGGCAGGGAGAGAAGGATCACAAGTGGGGGATCGAGAGCCTCGTGTCCTGGGAAGTGCTGCAGAAGAGTGCGGCGAGCAAGGATCAGACGGACAGCAACCGCATGGAGGCCAAGGGCTCGTCGTGAGTTGATGGTTGCGTTGAAGCTCCTACTAACATGCCTGCAGCAACGAGGAGCACGTGGAGACAAGTGGGCGAGCAGAGATAGGAGCCTTGTTAAATTGAGATTGTTGCTGTTGTCTGGGCGACATTGTACCATAGCGCTGGCCTCGAGTCTGTGTGTAGATTGTGTGTCATAGTTTGTGATGGTGAAGTGTGTGTATGTGTGAAAGCTCTGGGACTGACGTCCTCTCGTTAAAATTCATTGAATTCTTGAGTGCTCATAGACTCATCCCATCACCATCCTCCTTCCTTCTGCCTGGCGTTGTCTTCTCCTGTCCTCTCCTATCCTATCCTATCCTATCCTCCCCTCCCCTCCCCTCCCCTCCCCTCCCCTCCCCTCCCCTCCCCTCCCCTCTCCTCCCCGTACCTGTCTCGTTCTTACTGAGGGCACATGTCAATATCACACCCCCTGTTATCCCAGGGTGTATTGGGAAGTAGGGGGTGGGGTAGTCCATTTTTGAACTGAAATTCGTAAGGAGAGAACAACATGCACTGCCAAAAGCAGCAGATGAAGCAGGAGGAGAAGGTGGTGGTGGTGGTGGAGGAGGAGGAGGAGGAGGATAGGAGGAGGAGCGGGAGGAGGAGGGATAGGAGGAGGAGGAGGAGGAGGAGGAGGAGGAGAGGCAGCAGGAGAAGGAGAAGGAGAAGTAGTAGTAATAGTGGTAGTAGAGGCAGGAAGAGAAGGAGAAGGAGTAGAGGCAGCAGCAGCAGCAGAGGAAGCAGGAGAAGCAGAAGCAGAAGCAGAAGCAGAAGCAGAAGTAGTAGTAGTAGAGGCAGCAGGAGAAGGAGGAGCAGGAGCAGGAGCAGGAGAAGAGGTAGGGAGAATAGCAAAAGCTAGAGGACTACAAGAAGAAAGGGAAACTTTTCCTATTCCCAGACCAACTTGATTCGAGCGCTCAAGTTCGTCGCAGGTCCTTTCGACTTTGAACCTCTCCTTGCGTTCAAAGGGAAACGTTTGTCGAAGCCTTCCTGTTTGACTTGGATGAGAGCCCTTGTTTGAGATCTCCTACCCCCCCCTCCTCTCTCCTCTACCGTTCTTCCTGTCTTTCTCCCTCCCTCCCCTCCTCTCTCCTCTCGCTCTCCACCTTCGCTCCTTCCTCGCATCGCACTCCTCGTCTTGACGGTGGGGCCTCATGAAGGAAGCAAGCTCGCAAGAGGTCAAGCTCAACGCCAACGCCGTCAACCTCCTCCGCGACGTCTATGAAGCCTACTGCGTCACCCAGCAGCAGCGGCCAGGAGGGTCGAAGATCGAGCTCGGCGTAAGAGGATGGGAAACTTTCTGCTCCGACTGCGAGCTCGTGGGAGGCAACCTGACGCTTCCCGCGCTGCGAAAAATCTTTGAGGAGGAGGACAAGGACGGGCGAGGGCTGCTGAGCTTCGAGAGCTTCTTGCGCGCTCTTTCAGCAGTGAGCGACAACATGTTCGAGGACGAGGACGACGCCATGTCGCGTCTCGTGTACTTCAAGGTCATCAAATTTGGGAGATTGACGAGGAGCAGCGGCAGGGAGAAGGAGGAGGGGGAGGAGGAGGACGAGGTATCTTGGGATGACAGTCGCTTCTCCTTCCGCGCAGCTCCGTCGGAGGAGAGCGCGCAGCTACTGAAGCAGCATCTCGAGTGCAGCAAGGAGAGCGCAAAGCTGTCGACACTGGGGCCTCTGCTGGTGGGAGCTTACCTGTACTACAAGGGCTCAAGCCCCCTCCTCTCCCTCCAAGGCATGGTTCAAATCTGCTTCGACCTCGGCATCGTCCCCTCCTTGCTCTCCTACACGCAGGTACAAGCTCGCTTCCGTGCCTTCTGCTCCTCCTCCCCTCCCGAGCCCCAGGGCCTCAACTACGTCGGGATGATGCGATGCCTGCGGGCGTGCGCGGACTCTGCGTTCAGAGGAGACCCGAGCGGGAAGGACTCGACGACGATGCTGGTGGAGCGGATGATCAGCCCGCCGATGCTCTCGCGGGAGGTCGACAAGCCTCGCTCCTACTTCGCCATGGAGAGCCGTAAGGTCGGGGGCCAGCTCGGAGTGAGCCGACAAGATGAGGAAGAGGAGAGGGAGAAGGGGAGGCGCGCGAGAGAAGCTGGGCTGCAGTTGGGGGGCGACAGTGGAAGTAGCGGGCAAGAGGAGGGGGAAGACAAGGAGCTTGAACGAGCTCTGCAACGGCTGGAGGAGGAGCTGAAACGGCAGATGGATGAGCTGGCGAGCAAGTACGCGGAGAAGGAGGTTGGGATCAAGAGACAGCGCGAGGCAGCTCGGAAGCAGCTGGAGGAGGAGTGTGCGATGAAGCTGCTCGAGTCAGAGTCTCGGCTCTACCTCAACCTCTCCAAGTTCCATCCCTCCCAGCAGCTCCTCGACCTCAAGTCCAAGGCCCGCGCCCTCCAGGTGGCCAAACACGCGAGCGCGAGCGAGCGGATTGAGGTGGAGGAGGAGGTGAGGGTGAGGGAGACGGAAGAGCGCGAGAAGTTCCGGGAGAAGGTGAGGATGGAGCACCAGGTGCTGCATGCTCGAGTCAAGATGGAGGTGGAGAAGGCGAAGACTCGGTTCGAGGAGGAGACGCAGAGCCTGCAGGGGGAAACGCTGGCGCTCATGGAGACAGACTTCCAGAGCATGCGACAGAAGGTCTCCTCCTCCCTCTCCTTCTCTCTCGCCCTCTCCCTCCCTTCCTGCACCTCCTTGGTCGTCTTTCTGCTACCTCGGCGTCTTCCTGATCCTCATCTCCCTTCTTCCTCCCACAGCACAACTCTTTCCTTGTCCTCGTCACTTCTCGCTGCCTGCCTGTCTGACTTTCTCTCCTCCCCCTGCTCCGCTCATTTCCCTTCCTCGCAGTATGAAACCAAGCGCGCGGCTCTACAGCAGCTTCACGCGAGGAGCAAGACGTCAGAGGCAAGCAAGTTCGCCTTCCTGTCCGCCATCGCCGAGAAGTCCAAGGGAAGGAAGACAAGCGTTCCTCCTCTCGACCTGCACCTCAAGCTCGACTCGTCCCATGCCAACCAGCTGGACAGCAGCAGAAGGAGAGGAGGAGGAGGAGGAGGAGGCACCCAACGGTCTGCGAGGTCTACTGCCTCTCAGCCTTCTCTTGCTCCGACGACGCCGCGAGCGAGACAGAAGGCAGGAGGAGGAAGGAGAGCGACGGAGATGTTGCAGCGGGTGCTGCGGGAGATCTTTGACAACGTGCTGGAGGCTTTTGTGTTCCTCGACATGGACGGGTCTGACTGCATCCTCCGCTACCAACTCGCACGACAAATGCAGAGGATCGCTCCCCATGTCTCCTTCGAGCAGGTCAAACACCACCAGCTGCTTATCCTCCCCCTCCTCCCTCCTCTCCTCCTTCCCCCCCCTCTCTTCTTTCCTCTCCTCCTTCCCCCCTCTCTCTTCTCTCCTCTCCTCCTTCCCCCCTCTCTCTTCTCTCCTCTCCTCCTTCCCCCCCCCTCTCTTCTCTCCTCTCCTCCTTCCCCCCTCTCCCTTCTCTCCTCTCCTTCCCTTCTTCCCTCTTGCTGATTCTTAGGTTTGCTGGGAGCAGGTGATGGTGGAGGTGGACGGCAAGAGCAGCAACAACAGCATCCCCCTGCTCAAGTTCGTGCAGCACTTCTCATGGCCTGACGGCATCGCCGACAGACAGCGAGAGTACGAGAAGCTGAAGCTCAACCGCAGAGAGGTAACACGAAGAGAAGATGAAAACATACTCAATACTCGATCATAAAAACATCATCATCATCATCATCATCATCATCATCATCATCATCATGAAATCAACATCGCCATCATCATCTCCAAATTCTTCACTTTCATCGCCTCTGATCATCTGCTGCAGGTCCTCGCAAAGTTTGAGAGGTGGAGGAGGAGCAAGCTCGACGAGGTCACCAACGCGTTCGTTGCCAAGAAGCCGGCGGGGACGGTAGAGGCGAAGAGAGCAGAGAGCAAGACGATCATGGCGACGTCCCCTCGTCCTCCTCCCTCCTGCGTCGACGACTCCTCGGTGAGCAGCTGCAAGGTCCCCGATCTCTCCTCCTCCTCCTCCGCCTTCCGTGCCAAGTCAGCTCCTCGCGAGAGGCCCTCGCAGAGCAAGCTTGACCGGCTGGTGAGAGGGGAGGAGGTGTCGCGGAGAGGAGCTCGCGGGGCCCACGACGGGGACGGGGGAGAGACAAGGAGGAAGGCATGGGTGTCCGATGCTGTTCGAGATGCGGAGGTAAAGAAGCTGGAGAGAGAAAAGAGGAAGGTAACCCTCATCGCCATTCGTTCTTTACCACCCTCCTCCTCCTCCTCCTCCTCCTCTCATTCTTGTCGTAGCTTGCAGTACAGCTCCTCGATGCCGAGAGAAAGCTTGCTCTCGCCAGCTCGGCAGCAGCAGCGGAGGGGGATGAAGCGAAGGGCTCGCTATCCTCGTCTCGTCGACACAGCTCGAGGGCACAGGCAAGGTCTCCTCCTCCCTTCGTGGGCCCCAAGGGAGCGTACAAGGAGGAGAAGAGCGTCGCGATGTTCGAGGAGGGAGCCGCCAATTTCGTCGTGTCTAAGACGGGCCTGTGGGCTCCTGTGCCCCGCGGCGCTGCGGAGAAGAGCAACGAGGAGGATTCGAAGATGCCGCGGCCGGGGGATGGGGAGGAGAGAGAAGCAGCAGGCATGAAGGAGGTCAGGCCGCAGCAGGGGGTAGGAGGCGGCGCTGGGGAGGAGAGGCAGACGGCCTCGCATCCTCCGCTGGCTGCCTTGGCGTCGAGGCAGGACGACTGGCTGGACACGTGCATCCAGGTGCGAGCGAGAGGAGGGAGGAGACGATGACGTCCTTGCAGATGATCAGCGGGTTTGTGGGTCAAGATCTCGAGAAGCGAGAGGTGAGAGAGGAGGAGAGGAAGGACGGAGGAGGAGGAGGAGGAGGAGGAGGAGGAGGAGGAGGAGGTGTCGTTCTGAATACTATCAGGCCTCTCAAACGGAAGAGAGGTATCACTCGCTCGCTCAGGTTCCTTCTCCTCCCCTCTCGTGCTTGTCCGCTGACTTGAATATCAAGATAAGACCAGAAGGACAAGGTGGCCCTGCACCACCGTTTCCTCCTTTCCCCCCTCCTCTCTCCTCTCTTCCTCCCTCCCTCTTATCCGGGTCCCTCACGTAGCTCACGTAGGAAGAGTATCCGGCAGCTTGGAGGAGGCCATCAGCTTCGCTTCCGACCAGTCTCCCTCCCACCTTCTGGCCGATCATCCCACCAGGAGCCTCGTCGACCCCACATGGAGCCCTCTCGAGCTCGACCAGTCCGCTCCTCCTCGTCCTCGCCCTGTTGAGATGGATACTTCCGCCCACTGGGACATCAGCCCGGGTTCGGGCGACATGCGCGCCTCCTCGTCGCTTCCCTCGCGCTTCCAGGCTGCCGTGGCGGAGCAGGAGGAGGAGGATCAAGTGCCTGTGGCGAGCCTAGAGGAAGACTTCAACGGCTACCAGGAGCTCACAATTACCGACGTGCTTGGAGAGGTAGGGAAGGAGGAGGAGGACGGGAGGTGACGAGGTGAGGCAGAGGAGGAAGGAGCAGATGCTTCCTTGGAGCCTGGACGTGGCCATGCGAGCGACCATTCAGGAGATGTCAGGAGGTGAAGCAGCTGAGCCACTGAGCCGCTTCCTCGAGGTGACGAGCCGCGCAGACCTGGAGCAGGCGGAAGACGCGAGGGAGCAGGACAAGCCCCACGGGCACAACCGACAGCAAGTCGCTGCTCGTGCGGGGAAGGAGGAGGAAACCGCAAGCCACATCGCGAGGAAGCAGGCATGGTTCAAGAAGAAGCTGGTGCCTCGCTCCTCTCCCGCCCCTCCCTCGCGTCCCTCACGTCGCTTGCAGATGGCTGACTCGTCGGAGAGCGAGGACGAGGACCGCGAGAAGCATCGGCGCGAGGAGGAGAAGCCTCGGGCCCGTACCGATGAAGACGAGGACGACTCGAGCGAGGAGGAGCACGAAGAGCTCATGTCGCGAGTGCTGGGGAAGAGCAACAAGGTTGAGCAGGAGGAAGCGAAGAGGACGAATCATCGGGACGTGGCTGCCAACTTCATCAAGGTAGGCCGAACAGACGCTGTCCTCATTCCGCGATGATGTGAGGGCAGGCGCTGAACGACGACGAGGAGGAGGACGACGACGACGACGAAGAGTTTGCCAAGGCGCTAAGACAAGGGAGGTTTCAAGCAGTTTTGCGATGAGGAAGGGAGAAATGAAATGTCTGTGAGGAAGTTGTACAAGAATGCTCCAAGAGGTTCACTGGCAAGTAGGAGGCACCTCGACCCGCTCTGGCTCGCTGCCTTCACTTGACATGCTTGTCGATGGATGCAACGAGAGCGGCAGACGAGGCTCCCACCAGCTCCTCCACCTTCCCTCCATCCTTCAAGAGGATGAAAGTAGGAACAGCTCTGCTTACGCGTCAACTGCTGCGGCGAGAGGGCGAGGTGAAGAGGAAAGAGAGAGACGACATACCTTATCGAATTGCTTGCCGCCACATCGTCTGCTTCGTCCACGTCGACCTTCAGGAAGGAAACTTTGTCTCCGTACTTCGCCGCAAGATTCTGCACCTATGGAAATCCTCACCCTCCTCCCTACACGGAACATCCGCTACCTCGGGCCAAATCCTCTGACATGGTCCACACCACTTGGCTGTGTGATAGGCTACAACGAGCTTCGACTTGACATCTGCCGCTGCTTTGTACTCCTGCATATTGTTCACGATCTTGACGGCCGAGGCGTCCGAGGCCATGGTTCTTCTTCCCTGTACGTCAAACTGTCTGTTTGGAAGGGGAGCTGCACAAATGGTGAGAAGAGTGACATGGATGTTGAGGAAACCATGCCTGACCAAGCTCTCGGGGGCGCCAAACAGAACCTGGGGGTTGTACATGTCTTTGTTAGGGGGAGGGCGCAAAGTGGAAACAGGACATGAAGGGAAAGCTTCAAATATGATGAGTAAAGAAGAGCAGAGATGTCACAGTTTCAGCTCTTTATGTGTCGGTAAGAAAAAGAAAAAGGATTTGAAAGGAATCGGATGGAGGAGGGAGAAGAATGCTTGTATTTGGAAAGCAAAGGGGAAGGGAAACATGCAGGAAGACTGCACAAGGAGAGATGACTGTGGAAAAGAGAGAGCGAGAAAGGCATGCATGCATGAAGTGGGGCGGCTTGGATCCTATACCTGCTCGTCATTCTCCTCGCCCCCACCATCTTCGCTCCTCCTACCACCATTACAAGCGCCGCCCTGCGCATCATAGAGAGCGGATACTACCCCGTCATAGATGACCCCCCCTTTACATCAGATCTATCCAATCACCCCTACCCACTATATTGAGTAGGATACAGGGGGTTATCTATAGCGATGTACTACCACTACCGGCCACGTTCATTACCCACCCCACACAACTCAGTGACTCCTCTTGGCCCGCCTCAGGTATGTCAGTTGCGGGCCGGCGTACCGTACCGGGCCCGGGCCGGCCCCGGCGGGGGCCGGCCGGGCCCGGCCACTCAGCCTAGTACCGGGTGACTCAGGCCCCACGCCGGGCCTGGACTCTCAAGTCTGCCGCTGTGCGTGTTTGTACTTGACTTACACTCGTTTCCTGGCATGAGACACCGTCCCGGTGGCACTGAATCAGGCTGACTCAGTATTCAACTGGCAAACTGAGTCCCCAGCTTTTTCAAATAAGCTTTCAGTTTGCCAGCCTGTTGTGTCCACGTACCGCCCACGGCGGTGGTTGGCCGGGCCATCATGGCATCGCGGCTCAGGGCCCGGCGGCCCGGCCCCCGGGCCGGGCCGGGATCATGCCGGACTGCTAGGCGGCTCGGGTCCCGACCCGGTGACCGGGTCCCCGCCGGGGGCCCCCGCCGGGGTGGCATCACTGTCTCAGCCCGAGGGTCACCCACCCTGGATGTCGCCGGGCTTTCCGTACCCCTCCATCCAATACTATGATACTTCAAATGACTCTCATACCCCCTGCTTTGAGTTGTTAAGTACCATGTTCCTGACCTTCATGACCCTACCCCTCCCACTCTGTCTGACACCCCCACCCACTTAAAATCGGTCTCGGGAATAGCCGGAACCTCCGCACAGACTGGAGGCTCGACGATCTCTGAATATTCTTGCGGTGAGGGTGTTGAGAGAAATATAATTTCTATGATTTTAAAAAGATATACGTACTGGTTGTAATTTTACTTTCAAATTTCAACTTATATTGATGAATATTCGAGCTATGAAACAAATTAACTTTCTGGGTTTTGAGGTGGAGGAAAATCATTGCTTCCGACGGAAATTTTGTCTAGGACACAAAGTGAACTCGAGACAAGCCCAACACCCCCAGACAGCAGGAGCAGGAGCGGGAGAGGGAGAGGGAGCAGGAGCAGGGAGCAGGAGCAGGGAGAAGGGAGCAGGCAGCAGGCAGCAGGCAGCAGGCAGCAGGCAGCAGGCAGCAGGCAGCAGGCAGCAGGCAGCAGGCAGCAGGCAGCAGGCAGCAGGCAGCAGGCAGCAGGCAGCAATCGTTGCAATGCTTTTGATGGCCATGCGGTGCTTGTAAAGAGACGTGGGTTGTTTGCGATGACTTCAAGTGAGTAGATGGGCAACAACTCTAGCAGAGGGTCGCTCATGTCCCCTCGTCAACCTGTAAGCATCCTGAGAGTGCTCTGTGCACGACCTGACCAAAGGAGGCAGAGGCCCTCGCGAAGCAGAACTTGTTCGGTCTGCGCGTCAGAACTCACTCTTTCGTGGAACTGCGAGGTACAGGAGATGAAGGGGACGGTGAATGCGAGGGAGTTGGGGAATTTTCTTACTTGCACTTCACTCACAAGATACATCAGTTCTGTGCGAGGAGGAAGCTTGGGGTTCCACCGCCAAACTCTCCTTTCAACCTCAGTGTGCGATCAGATCTTTTTGTATCGGAGACAGATGATGAGCTGAGGAGAAGACTGGGATGGGAAGAGGAGATCTTCAGCGCGATTCTTGATCTACAACGGAGACCTCCCGAGCTCCTTCGCTCGCGCTACCTCATGGGCGACATCGAGCGAGAACTTCTCTCCCGCAAAGTTGAGGTGACGCTGAGCCGGCCTCCCTCCTCTTCCTTACAACGACTGCACAGGATCTGGTGATGCAGCTGGAGCAATACTTGGGCATGGAGGAGAGAAGCTTCTCTGACGGTGACATGAGGAGCAGAAGGGCGTGGGAGCACGAGATGGAGTTGCGGATAGACAGACTACGACAGGAGGAAGCGATTGAACCCTCAGATGTCATGCAGTGGAAGCAAATGCTAGAGCAGGTAGAGGAGGAGAAGCTCATGCTGTGCCGAAACACAGAGGTTTGAGAGCCCTACTTCCCCTCCCTTCCCCCTCTCCTCTTCTCCTGCTCCCTTCGTCCTGCTTGAGCGTTGACGATCATATCAGGAGCTGCTGAACGTGGTGGAGGTGAGAATGAAGGAGGTTGAGTGCTTGTAGATGTGAACGGACTTGATAATATAGTCTTTGTTGGTAAAAGAATATCGCGCTCATCCATTGTTTGCTGGTAACATCCGCACTCTGCGGTTCTCCAGCACCGTCACCATGTGAGACATTTTGTGTTGAAGCTCATCAACTTTTCGGATCTGCTCCTGCTCATCAACCCATCACGCTCGGCAGGAACTCAAGGCTTCTTTACTTGGATGTATCCTCCCAGTGCCTTCTTCGCCCCGCTTCCTCCTGCATGCACCGCCACTTGTCTCTCTCCCACCTCCTTACTCCGATCTCTTCTCTCAACGTTGATCGCCAGCTGGAATTCACTGTAGGTTTGTGATCCTGATTGAGCTGAACAAGAGTTTGGATTCGGCTGGGCAGGCTCAAGTCAACTCAGGAGGCAGCAAGCTTCTCTTCGAGCAGGCCTACCGTGCCGCAAAGGGAGGGCCCTTGCGTCCAAGAGGTCGGCATGGCGCTTAGCGTGGACACGCTCTCTTGGTCGCATCTGCACCCGCAGGTCACTGAAGGTCTGGGAGGCGCTTCTTGAGCTCTCGAAGACTTACTCCGGGTCTGCTCTGCGAGGGCAGCCCTGCAGGTGATGCGCTCCATGCTCTGCGACAAGTCACAAGAGAAGCGCAGAGAGCTTCACATCACGAATCAGTGTGTACTCCGACGATGACCGCAGCCCGCAAAATTTACACGTGAACATCTAAGATAGAGAATGGGTGCCATGCAAGTGAGATCAGTCTCAACGAACCTCTTGCCTTGGTTCTGCTGAGACCTTCGACTCCTTCTCAGTCAAAGTCCCTTGCAAGTCCTCGAGCTGCGTGGACATTCACCCAACATCTAACAAGCTGTAGACAGCACCTGCTTCTTCTTCAAGAGCAGCTCCAACTTTAAGATCAGCTCCTGCAGTTGCTGATTCGCCTTATGGTGGGAGCCTAGAGAGGGAGTGAGACTGAGGCGGGTTCTCTTTGCAGGTCCCACTCACTCAGATTTCGTGAGCTTGCGGTAGAAGTTGCTTGGGAGACTTCGGAGCCCATAAGCACCTGAGACTGCAGCAGCTCCTGCTTATGCGCCAGCTGAGATTGCAGCAGCCGGCGTTTCAACCCCAGCAGCATGGTCTGCGCCTCGAGGATCCCCTCGGGCTGTGGAGGAGACGCGGGTTGCTGCCAGCCGAGTCATGAAGGAGGACATGCCAGGCAGGCTCACGGTCTTGAGCTTGGTGGCCCGCGCGATGCCGTCGTTGAGGGCATTGTCGTACCTGAAAGCCGTCCACTTGTCGTTGCGCGAGGCTGCGGGGCTGACGCATCCGACGGAGTCAGGGGGGAACGATTGAGGAGAGATTGTTACAGAGGAGAGCGGCAAGGAGAGTCTGGAAGGTCGTCGAGATTTCTGGCGATGGTGAGAAGCCCCAGCTGTTTGCAGATGTCGTTGCATTGGTGGCTGTTGAAGAAGCTGAGAATGCCTTCCCTGCCGATGTTTCCGATGCCTTCAAAGACGGTCATCACTATGGCTCAAAGTCAGAGGCGAGGCTACCAAAACTCTTCCCATCGATGCTGTGAATCTGAGGAGCAGAATCAGTCGGTATCAATCATATGCTGCGCCACCTGAGGGTCTGTGTAGAAGGTCCCAACCCCCTGTATGTCGCACACCAGCAACCTTCTGTTCGAGATGTGGTGCGTGAAGTGACTGAAAGCCTGCGGAACTTTTTCTTTCGACTCCACGTTGCCGTCGTTGTCGTTGTGCTTCACGTACTTGCCCTCTAGGAGAGGCTCCACGTTGATTAGCCTCCCCTCGCATTCAATAAGCTGCACAACACTGACAGGGAGAAACTGCCAAGCAAGGATCAGAGTAAGTTGGGTCATTTCAAGATAAACCTTGATGGAGACTTGCTGTCCATGCTCTGATACTTTCTTGCTGTTGAACAAGCGAGCAAAACTCTCTGCCACCTTTTAGAAGAATCAATGAAATCCAAGAGGTGGGACGCATGAAATAGTAGGAAAGGTGAAGTGAGGGAGAGGGAGAGGGAGAAGGAGAGGGAGAGGGGGAGGGTTCCAGACCGTCTGCGTCATCGCCTCATCGAAGTAGATCTTGTCTTCCTATTACAAGGTATCACATCATCTCACTCCACCATGAGTGAGTACAATCTTGGGGGGCACGATCTCGGGCTTGAATATCTTGGCGACATGTTGTTTTTGTATCCCGATGGAATCGATTAGCGTCATTTTCACGCACCATCGCATTCCACCCTCCGCCAAGGGCTTGTCATCCAGCAACACCTGTCATCAAACTTTTACCTACTTGGATCTCTCGAGGGGTTGACAAGAGAGGAGAAGAGAGGGAAAGACGGAGAGCTCACTGAGCATGGTTCTTGTGACCAGACTTCGTTGCCGACATCGTAAGTGTACTTGATGCCCTTGCTCGAAACGTCAGGCAACAAAAGCTGTTGAGCTCAGCAAACACTTTTTGGCATCGACGGATTTGACCTGGTTGATACTTCTTGAGAAGATCTTTGCCAGCACTGCAGAGAGGCATCAAAGTCAAGCAGAACCCCCAAAGCAACGGAAAGACCGTTTCTTCTTCCGTTCCATCATTTGAGACGATATGCTTTCAACATCACCAGCTAGGATGTGAGATCCAACCCCCGGCACACAAGACCATCATGGCACGTTGCCTTTCTCAAGCAAATTCACAGCATGTCGAGCTGTAACATTCGTCGCTTCCATCATCTCTTTCTACCATCTGCTTCGTTGGCATTAGCAACTTTTATCATCCTCCCTTCGTCTCTTCCCCCAACACCTTTCCTTCCCTGACGCCCTCCCTCCCTCTTTCTCACCCGATCCTTTCATATTCGTACCCTTATTCCCGTTCGTCCCTCTCCTCCCTTCCCTTCGCTCCTCTTCCCTCCGTTCCTTCCCCTCCCGATTACTCCATCCCACCTTTCCTTCCTTCCTCACTCTCCTTCTCTTCGCTTCCTTTCAGGCTCTCTTGTTCGCTCCCTCCTCTCTCCCTCCCTCTCATTCCCCTACAGCTTCTCCCCAACTCTCCATACTTTCTACCTTGAGGTCTGGAGGTACACCCTAAACCTCTACCCCCCCCCCCTGATCTCTCCAAAAATCACCTGATTGGATAGGGTGGTGGGTTAGACGATGGGTTCCCGTGCTGCCGGACCTACCGACCTGTCCAGGGGTGGGGGTATATCATGATCAGACCAATCAAGGGGTAGGGTGGTTAGCATTCCATTACGCCGGAGACCGGTGGGTACCTGGCAGTCGAAAGCAAAGGACGAAGTTGGGGTAGGAATCTCTATTGATCACAGAGGGTGGGGTGGGGACTGTACTATCAATGAACCTAGGGTGGGGTGATTCGGACGGGCTTGCCTGGGACGGGTATTAGCCCAGGCACCCAGGGCGGTCCGGCAGGATGCCAGTCATAGAGGAGGGGTGGTCAAGATGGGAGTATGGGGGGTCCTGGGGGTACCTCCCCTGGTAATAAACAAACTGGGGGGAAAGGAGATCACCGGGACTAGTACTAATGCCACCGAGCTCGGTCAGTGAGGAGTGCCGCGGCCCGGTCACCGTACGGTACTGGTGACCGCCCGGCCGGGCTTAGCTCAGCCTCACTGAGTGGCGGCCCGATGCCAGGCCCGGCCGCAGTAAGTTCGGACCCGGCGCCGTCACGGTAAGCCTAGTACGGTAGCCGGCGCTGCCCGCCGGGGGCCCGTCACCGCCGACGGTGCCGCTGTGCCCAAGGACCCCGCTGGTCAGGGCCCCGGGGCCGGTGAGCAAGCAGGCGAGCGCGGACCGGCGGGCAGCCGGGCTTCGAGTGACCGTCGTTGCTTGCCCCAGGCTCTGCTGTCTCGGATTTTATTCCTCCTGCATGCTCCTGCTGCTTGTTGCTTGACCCTTCGGCTGCTTGTCTGCGCGGCTTCGCGCTTGGGCTGGCGATGCCGGGTCTGCTGACGGTTGCCAGCAGTGCTGGTTCTTTTCGGGCTTGTGTTTTGTGTGTGTTTGTGCAGCTTCTCGCTGTGAACTGTGTGCCAGGAGGTTTAGCTTGTTCCTGCTTTGTTTTGCTTGAGGCACTTTTTACCTTCTGTCAGTAAATCCTATTAGATCCCCTCAAGGCCTTCCCGCATTGCTATGCTCAGATGCTCAACTGCTTCTTCATGGCATGCCGATCTGCCAGTGTCCGACGCAATGGATGTCAGCGCCAGCTCGATCCTTCCGTTGCTGCGCATCATCTCCAGACCTGCAAACGGCGATCCTCCAAGCTTCCTACAGCTGCCTCCGGGGTAGGATTTACTTGCCGCTTTGTGGCGGCAGCGGACGTCTCGACTGACAGTGGTCAGTCGGCTGCTTCCGGGTATCGCGTCTAAGGGATTTTATTCCTCCTGCATGGTTTTCCTGCTTTCTGTGTTCCATCTCTACCGTTTTTCGACCTCCTCGAGGTCGAACTTGCTCTTTCACATGTGAGCGTTTTCTTGTCATCTCCTCACACCATTCGTCGAGTTTCTTCAGGTTCTCCCTGTTTTCATTCAAAAATTTGAATTTTCCTGGCGGTCATCTGCATGCTACTTGGTATCTTGGGCTCTGTCGAGACCTCATGGCACTAGGTTTCACTTGTGCTCTGTTCTGATCCTCTCCCTTGTACGGTGGGACTGGCATGCGACGCCCTTCCGCTCCACCTCCAGTGGCTCAACCTTGCTTATCGCAACATTTGGCTCCACTACCTGTCACTGGCATGAGGCGTCGAGATCTACCTTGGGCTTTACTACTAGTGACGGGCGATACCATGTCGCTCGGCTGACCCTTCTTTTTCTCCAATGGGTTTGTTCAAGCGGAGGCTCTCCCCCAAGTGCCGAACTCCTGCTCGTCGGTCCAGCTTGCGCATCTACCGGCGTTCCTTCTTTCGACGCTGGGTAGCTCAGGCCCAGAGGCGCAGACTCGGCAGCACTCCTTTCTCTCCTGCTCTGCGTCCTGTATCCGGAGGGAATCTGCTGGGGTCCCCTTCCCTCCTCCAGTCGCCTCCCGTGGCTCCTCTCTCCCCCTCCCCCACCGCCATTGTCGACCTCAGCGGTCGCAACCTGACTGAGGCCTCTCCGCGGGTCGAGCCCGCCTCACTGACAAAGGTCTTTTGTGGATGCTGACAATGCCCAGACCGGGGAGGGGGAGGGGGAGGAGGACAAGCGCCCAGCGGCCCCTGGTGCTGCCTCCCCCTCCTCTCCGGACTCCTCATCATCCAGCTCGGATGATGCCTACCGCCGACTGTTTCAGCTTGATTCCTCAGCTGATGTTTCTCAGTCTCCAGCTGCAGGCGCTGACTCTCCGCCGTCCCTCTTCGGGGGCCCTGCGAAGGCATCCGATGCATCAGCCTGTGCTGCGAATGTCCTGCCTGACGAGGATGATCAACCTGACCTTGCTGATGCCGACCCTGATTCTGCTACGGATGTGCCCCCGGTTCCACCTATGGCCACCTCAGATTGGCCGGAGGGCTTGCAGTGGTTGATGTCCAACCTCCGAGTCTTCCTCTATATTCATGAGCGCTTTCGTCCTCATGTCACTGCGTCTCACCTCTTTGGTGAGACTGCAGAGCTTTGGCTGACTTGTCTTGTGTCTTTGCTGCAATTCATCGATCGATATGATCCTTCCTCGTCCAGCTATCAGACCCTTGTTCTGCTCTTTGAGCACCTTCCCGCCTTACTGCTTCCCGTACCCAAGGCTGCCAATGGTCCTACCAAGGACGCGCTTATCAAGCGCCAGTGCCGACGTTTCTTGAAGGGTGAATGGAAAGCTCTTTTCAAGCGCTATCTGCCTGCTGCAGAAACCCATGGGAAGAAGCAAGCAAAGGGGGCGCGGCAGCCTTCACCGCCCCAAGGACAGCAGCAGCAGCAGCAGCAGCAGCAGCAGCAGCAGCAGCAGCAACTTCGGCGGTCACCTCGGCACCTGCAGCCCTCGTCCCTCCCACAGCAGCAGCTGCAGGAGTCCGAGCAGCTGCAACCGCCCCGCGGCGGCAACGGCAGAAACAGCAACGGCGGCGGCAGCCACATCCGCAGCCGCCGCAGCCGCAGCCGCAGCCGCAGCCGCAGCCGCAACACCACCGCCACCAGCAGCAACCGCAGCAGCAGCAGCCGCAGCCGCAGCACCCGCGTCAGCAGCAGCAGCAACAGCAGCAGCAGCAGCAGCAGCAACGCCAGCGTCAGCAGCAGCGTCCGCGTCAGCAGCAGCAGCAGCAGCAACACCAGCAACCACCACAGCAGCGACCACAACCGCGCAGGCCGAGGGAGCAGCGGCAGTCCGGCCAATCGTCTCAGGAGTCTGAGCCTGCTCCTCCGCCGCGACCTACGCTGTCCCTCACCTCTGAGAGCGAGCGCCAAAGACAGTTGGCGATTCATCAGTTCACTGCGGGTGACCTTCATCGGGCGGTACGGACACTACTGAGCTCCGGCATCTACAAGGCTGAATCTTTCGCTGATCTTCTTGCTGAAGCACAAGAGAAGTTCCCTGATGGTGCGTCGCCTGCCTTTGGAAGTGCTTCCGCGGATCATCTCACCCAGCAAGCGCTTGCAGTACTGCAGGTGGATTTGACTGACATCCTCGACACCACTAGCCTGATCCAGGCGATCAAGCGCTACAGCTCCTTTGCGGGGACCGATGACCAAGGGTGGAGGATTCGGCAACACCTGTCACCCCTTTCTAGTCATCCTGCAGCTTTGAAGCTCTACTGCAAACATATCCTCCAAGGGGTCCTTCTTGGCCGGATGCCGGATCTTCTTATTCCTGCCCTGTCAGCCATTCGTCGAGGAGGCAGATTTATTCCCCTCTCCAAGGGAGCTGATAAACCTGGTCTCCGGCCAATTGTCATCGGTTCTGCACACCGTCGACTCGCGACGAAGCTTGCTTTGGCAGGGATTCGCTCTTTTCTTGACCAGCACTTCCTCTCGTCTCACCCTCGAGCGATTCAGTTCGGACTCGATCGAGACGGCTGTCTGAAGTTCTCGCAAACCGCGTCAGCGCTCCTGCCCCTTCACGCTCGCGGTGATGATGAGGATGTTGCCAAAAAAGTTTACGAAAGTTTACATCCCCTCCTGGCATCAACGTCTCAAGATTCAACTTCTTCACTTCGAGGTCGTCACTGGCGGGATTACACTTGGCGGCCTGCCTATCGGCACGGATGGATTTCATGCTAGTCAGCTCCGAGCGAAGGTTTCTACCCTCAACGAAGAGCTCTCGAAGCTCGGGCTCGTCCAGCATGGCTTCATGTTCAAGACGCTGGTGAGGGCGAGCCATCTCCAGAAGCTGCGCTTCTTCCTCCAGGGGTCTTCTCCGTTTCTCCCGCGGGTCCAATCACAGATTCGTCGCTTTGACCTCTCTGTCCACCTGGCGCTTGAGAAATACCACCGCTGGCCTTCCTCGCAGTACCTCGCCGCGCATCCCGACCTGCTAGAGTTTGCGAGGTTCAAGCGGGAGCTTCCGGGCGGCATAGTCGGGGAGGGGACGAGTTCAACGCGGCCCTCTGAGGGTCTAATCGCCGCCGAGCGGTACCGTGTTCCTGTGTCCAGCCTCCCTCCGTCCGCTGCCCCAGGCGGACCCCCGGGCAACGCCGGCTCCTTGTCGGCGGCTGCCCTTTCTCCGTCCGCGGCCGCCCGCTTTGTGGCGGCAGCGCGGACGTCTCGACTGACAGTGGTCAGTCGGCTGCCTCCGGGTATCGCGTCTAAGGGATTTTATTCCTCCTGCATGCTCCTGCTGCTTGTTGCTTGATTGCTTGACCCTTAGGCTGCTTGTCTGCGCGGCTTCGCGCTTGGGCTGGCGGTGCCGCGCTGACGGTTGCCAGCAGTGCTGGTTCTTTTCGGGCTTGTGTTTTGTGTGTGATTGTGCAGCTTCTCGCTGTGCGCTGTGTGCCTGGAGGTTTAGCTTGTTCCTGCTTTGTTTTGCTTGAGGCACTTTTTACCTTCTGCCCGGCAGTAAATCCATTGTTCTGACCAGCCGATGTCACGGACGCTGCTCTCTCCTCATAGCCTGGACGTTCACTGCTCGAGATCTCTCCGTGCCCAGAAGCATCCTCTGGCGACCTTCTTCGTTGAGGCGCACGACTTCGTTCATAATGCTGGAGCGATCCTCTACCGTCGTGTGAGGGCTCCTGCACCGGCTGCAGATGGCGCGGCGATCCCACCTGCCCCGGCTGCTGTGCCTGATGATGCAGGACGCCCCCCGGCATCTGTGGTACACATCCCTGGTTTGCGCGCTCTCGTCGACTCGTCTCATGAGCACTTTATTGCTCCGCCTGCGCAGCGAAATGTGACCCCTCTTGTCATGCGCGTCTTCCCTCGCCATGTGCATGCTCGCGCTGCGCTGACCGATCAGCAGCGTGATATCCTCACCTTGCACAGCCGCAGGACACACTCGCTCAAGTCGCAGGATAGGGTCTTGACAGTGCAGTCTACCATCTTCGCTCATTTTCCTGAGCGTGACCTGAGCCACTCTCCGATGCGAGTCTCGAGCTACTACCCCCTCAAGGCCTTCCCGCACCGCTATGCTCAGATGCTCGACTGCTATCTCCATGGCATGCCGATCTGCCAGTGTCCGACGGAATGTGATGGATGTCAGCGCGAGCTCGATCCCTCTGTTGCTGCACATCATCTCCAGACCTGCAAACGCCGATCCTCCAAGCTTCCCACGGCGCATGACAACCTTACTCGTACGATTCGGTCGATGCTGAACGAAGCTGGTCTTCAGAGCGTCATCGATACAGTGGGGGATCCTCGTTCTCGACGGCAGGTACCCTCCCATCCTCATGGCCGCAAGATGAAGGGCGATATCCACATCCCTGGAATCCGCGATCGAGGGTCCGAGCAGTACGAGGGCTTGATGGCGGACGTGACGTTGGTCCACCCTTACTGCCGACCTGACCAAGTGGGGGGAGGTCAACCTCGACGCCCTCCATGTTGCAGCGTCTGAGAAGATTCGCAAACATCGCGCTGCATATGCCATGACTACTCCTGCATCCTGACACCCTCCGCTTCATCTGGTATCTCGCGGACATCATTGCTCAGCGCTCGATGCCTCTTGAGGATGCGGCGTTTGGTCGGCACTTCGTGCCTGATGACGGACCTGCTGCTGAGGTCCTGGCTCGCAAACGCGCCGCCACCTATCATGCCAGCGCCTCACTATGCAGCTGACGCTGGAGGCGCTCTTGTCTGGTGCGAGGCGCATGACGCCCTTGCGGGCGCAAGCACTTCTCGAGCCAGAGGACAGCTCCTCCTCGGACTTTGTCGAGTCGCCTGAGGAGGAGTCTTCGCCGGAGGTCTCCGACTCCGATGGGGGAAACACGTCGAGTGGCGCCGACGATCGGCGCGGAGCTGGCGAGGCGTCTCCGTCCCTCACTGTGACGTCGGGTGCCTCCGGAGAGCTCGACACCACTGGGGTGCTTGCTGCTGGTCCGAGCTCGCCTGCTTCCTCCCCGGCATCGGTCGGGTCACGCCGGTCCTTGGGCATTGCTGCGGCGTCGCCGCCGTCACGGGCGGCTACCACTGACTCGGCTACCGCTGACTCGGAGGCTAGCGAGGAGGACTACCTCGAGCGGTACCGTGTTCCTGTGTCCAGCCTCCCTCCGTCCGCTGCCCCAGGCGGACCCCCGGGCAACGCCGGCTCCTTGTCGGCGGCTGCCCTTGCTCCGTCCGCGGCCGCCCGCTTTGTGGCGGCAGCGGACGTCTCGACTGACAGTGGTCAGTCGGCTGCCTCCGGGTATCGCGTCTAAGGGATTTTATTCCTCCTGCATGCTCCTGCTGCTTCAAGTTGCTTGATTGCTTGACCCTTAGGCTGCTTGTCTGCGCGGCTTCGCGCTTGGGCTGGCGGTGCCGCGTCTGGGTGCCAGCAGTGCTGGTTCTTTTCGGGCTTGTGTTTTGTGTGTGATTGTGCAGCTTCTCGCTGCGCGCTGTGTGCCAGGAGGTTTAGCTTGTTCCTGCTTTGTTTTGCTTGAGGCACTTTTTACCTTCTGCCAGTAAATCCTGTAGGCTATGCCTGACACTCTGAGTTTTACTCGCATACCGTACCCTGCTACCCTGCCAGTAAATCCTCTACTACCCTCAACGAAGAGCTCTCGAAGCTCGGGCTCGTCCAGCATGGCTTCATGTTCAAGACGCTGGTGAGGGCGAGCCATCTCCAGAAGCTGCGCTTCTTCCTCCAGGGGTCTTCTCCGTTTCTCCCGCGGGTCCAATCACAGATTCGTCGCTTTGACCTCTCTGTCCACCTGGCGCTTGAGAAATACCACCGCTGGCCTTCCTCGCAGTACCTCGCCGCGCATCCCGACCTGCTAGAGTTTGCGAGGTTCAAGCGGGAGCTTCCGCATAGTCGGGGTGGGGACGAGTTCACGCCCTCTGAGGGTCTACACCCCGCTGTTTACTATACGGCTATCGCTCGCTTCCTCGCTTGGTACTCTGACCAGCCCATGTCCCGGACCCTGCCCTCTCCTCATAGCCTGGACGTTCACTGCTCGAGATCTCTCCGTGCCCAGAAGCATCCTCTGGCGACCTTCTTCGTTGAGGCGCACGACTTCGTTCATAATGCTGGAGCGATCCTCTACCGTCGTGTGAGGGCTCCTGCACCGGCTGCAGATGGCGCGGCGATCCCACCTGCCCCGGCTGCTGTACCTGATGACGCAGGCCGCCCCCCGGCATCTGTGGTACACATCCCTGGTTTGCGCGCTCTCGTCGACTCGTCTCATGAGCACTTTATTGCTCCGCCTGCGCAGCGAAATGTGACCCCTCTTGTCATGCGCGTCTTCCCTCGCCATGTGCATGCTCGCGCTGCGCTGACCGATCAGCAGCGTGATATCCTCACCTTGCACAGCCGCAGGACACACTCGCTCAAGTCGCAGGATAGGGTCTTGACAGTGCAGTCTACCATCTTCGCTCATTTTCCTGAGCGTGACCTGAGCCACTCTCCGATGCGAGTCTCGAGCTACTACCCCCTCAAGGCCTTCCCGCACCGCTATGCTCAGATGCTCGACTGCTATCTCCATGGCATGCCGATCTGCCAGTGTCCGACGGAATGTGATGGATGTCAGCGCGAGCTCGACCCCTCCGTTGCTGCACATCATCTCCAGACCTGCAAACGCCGATCCTCCAAGCTTCCCACGGCGCATGACAACCTTACTCGTACGATTCGGTCGATGCTGAACGAAGCTGGTCTTCAGAGCGTCATCGATACAGTGGGGGATCCTCGTTCTCGACGGCAGGTACCCTCCCATCCTCATGGCCGCGTTGAAGATGAAGGGCGATATCCACATTCCTGGAATCCGCGATCGAGGGTCCGAGCAGTACGAGGCCGGGCGGCTTGATGGCGGACGTGACGTTGGTCCACCCTTACATTGGTAGCTCGGCCGACCTGACCAAGTGGGGGGAGGTCAACCTCGACGCCCTCCATGTTGCAGCGTCTGAGAAGATTCGCAAACATCGCGCTGCATATGCTATGACTACTCCTCCTCGAGCGTTCATCCCTCTTGCCATCTCGACGGACGGTACCCTGCATCCTGACACCCTCCGCTTCATCTGGTATCTCGCGGACATCATTGCTCAGCGCTCGATGCCTCTTGAGGATGCGGCGTTTGGTCGGCACTTCGTGCCTGATGACGGACCTGCTGCTGAGGTCTTGGCTCGCAAACGCGCCGCCACCTATCAGCCCCTCACCATGCAGCTGACGCTGGAAGCGCTCTTGTCTGGTGCGAGGGGCATGAC